CCTTGCTTTCTTACCTTCCTTGAACTAAAACATGACAAGGTTCATAATTTGTTTTTAGGCTTGGAGATTGTGGAAAGAAGGAAGCACTTCTCAACTAATTGATTCGTTTGTACTAGAGTCTTGCACTCTAACTGAAGCATTAAGGTGTATTCACATTAGTCTATTATGTGTTCAGCATCAACCCGAGGACAGGCCAAGTATGTCATCTATTGTTTTGATGCTGGGTAGTGAGAATACACTGGTACAACCCAAAGAACCCAATTTCCTTGTTCACAGCAAATCAAATGAAACAATTTCTTCATCTAGCAAGCCTGAATCATCTTCAACCAATGAACTTAGCCTGTCAATGTTGGAGCCTCGATAAAGTGTAATCACTTAGAAACTATAAATGCCTAGTGTTGAAAATATTACTTAATGGTGTTCGCCAATGCATGCTACGCATATAACTTAATTAATTATTATTTGCAAGAAATTAATGGTGATTTAGTGACACCTGTTCTATTTGATCCTTAAGATCTAAGACTTCATTGCTCAACATAGATTGGTGAATCATTTTACATTTTATTTTAGTCCAAAATTAAAGTGTCAAGATCAATAATTTATCAATCTTCTTAGTAGTTTTATATAGCTAGCTGAATATTCATGATAGCCAACAAAAACTAATTTCTGCTCTAAATAATAACCGCCTTCATCCCCATTTTGGCTTGCTTGTTTGTGTTTTTAAAATGTAAAATAAAAATGCAACAGAGGCTATAATGAAAAGATTGTCATATTTCTGTAATATAAATTATAATCATGGCCTAAACTAATTTAGTTAAAGCATCTATATAAAAAGGTAACAATCAAATGTTTACATGAATTTTATAACTAGACTAAAACTCAAAATTAAATATGACACAATTAAGTCACTTGTCAATAACACAAGCTACATAAACATACAACATTAGAAAATGACTATACAAGTTACAACAATCCTATAAGGTGTAGAAAGATTACCCTTTGAATTCCTTTGGCTACTAGATAATCTCATTTATTATACCTGTTTATGGGGAGAGCAAGTAGTTTGGCAGTATAACAATCCCTATCTACCATGCTACCATGCTAATATTCATATTCCACTAACTAGAGGCTCCTTCTCAAAATTAATGTGTGTTTCATGAAACGAAATTTTAATTTATCATTAACTATCAAGATTGTCATTGTTAGAATGTGAACATCTCAGCATTTAGAATGTCAAAATTACTTATAAAATTATTTATTCACCTTTTATAAATCTTCATTTAAATCTTTTTATTATCATTTTTGTTATTTTAATAGTTACAATGACATAATTCCAGCAAAACCACAAAACATTTGCGATAAATAAAGCTTTTTCAGAATTTTAAAGGGTTAAATCCCTTTTTGAGGGTCCCAACTTTAGTATTTTACATCAATTTTGTCCTTCAACTCTACTTATGGATAAATTTCACTATAACAAAAGTATTAGTCAGTTTAAGTAATATAATGATAAAAATTAAACATCGTCCCACAAAAATTGCAGATTAATTAATTACTAAAATTAACTAATTTTAATTTTATTGGAACAATTGTAATTAAATGATTTAAATGAACTAATTAACTAAATTAATTAAAGAAAAA